TACAGCACCTCCAACTTTCGATTTCCTTCTCGACGAGTCAAGCATAACCTATACACCCGAACGTGGATTCTATGGTGTCCCCGTTCAGCCTAGGCCTTCCGGCCTTCCTAGACGATGTATAAATGACCATTTGAGTCTCCAAAGCGAATATGTTAACAATTGATCAGTGCGGGAAAAAATGACAGCCTGAATGCCTCGTCCCCACATCTCGGCTTTGGCCCTTAATCGCCTTACCTGGCTTTTTACCCCACACACTTAGGATCCCTTCACCTTGTTTGGATCCCCTCACCACCCTTCAGATTAGTAAAAAAACACTTCAAATCAAAAACTTATATGGACGTTATAAGAGCTGGTAATGAAGTTTATTTAGGTCGCACTAGATGCATCTAACAAGGAGAAAGTGATTTTGGACCTGTTGAACACCCAGCAGAGGTTCTCAGCTTCGGCTTCTGGTAACGTCGCCGCAGCCGAGACCTACGACGGGAAAAGGGCTCAGGTCCAGAAAATAGGCGACAAAGGCGGTATCGCCACCGTCGACGGCCACAAGTAATTGCTTTATCACCTTTTTTGATTTCTATCTCTCTCGTATTCGAAATACTTCTCCTTTGCCCACTTCTCATCGATTACTCCCCATTTAGAGCCCAACTGAGAACGAAAGAGGATGACAGCGGAAGGCATGCTTTCCTTAAAGCTGACGGAAAATATGATCTCGATACCGTGGCTTCTGGTGATTTCAAGGACCCAGCAGTAAGATCCACTTTTTTTTATGAATTTCCTTCATTCGGTGATTTTTTTCGATTTGTAGAAGACTTCATTTGCGGCGACCAACGACCGATTCGATTTCAAGCTGAACCCAAAGAGCCACGACAACAACACCGGCACCGGAACCATCGGATTCAATGACAAGGTCAATCTTTCATGCTGAAAATCGCTGTCTCACTGAAAAGTCTGTACCCTTCCGATTTTTTTTCTGATGCAATAGGAACCCATTGACTGTTGAATATGAGTTTACCCTGGGCAGCTCCTGCGTTAGATTTAAAACTGCCTCCCCATACCTGACTAGGGGCTCATCAAACAAAATGTGGGTGGGTCGTGAAACTCCCATGGTTGCCTAGAACATAGGCTTCTTCAAAATCTGAGTAACTTTGGTCGAGTATTTTCAAATTCTTCAAGTATTCCGATAACTAAACTGCACTGACATCAGAAACTTAGGGCTCCATCTGAAAGCTCCTTCCCCAGATAAGCAGCAATCAATTAGAGCCATTTACTGCTTGGAAGATCTCTTCCATAGATATAGGAAAGCCCCTGGTGTGCTATGAGTGTCTATTGATTGAATAGAGTGGGAGCACCCACAAACCAAACGGATGTTAGAGGGTGTCGTGCAGGCCTTTATGTAGGGATTAGGTTACAAGAAATGCTTCCAACGATTTCCATTTCAGGAAAAGGGCAAAAGTGGCAACTATGCGTATACAATTACACAAACAGGAAAGAAAACCGATGCTACTCTCTCAGCACATGACATCGGAAGCGAAGGTTTCGCGGAGAGCCTTTTCGGGCGACGTAGTGAGAAGTACCATTGCACAGGTTCGACCTCTATGATACAATTATGGTAGAATTCCAAAGTTTTAAGCAGTAGTAGGTGAATAAATACAAGCTTGTTAGTAAAGCACGATAGGAATCTAATGGCTACAGTAGCCAGAGGCCATAACACTGTATTCCAGCCGAGACTCCCGGCGTATCACAGTGCTACGATGCTCAGGGTCGTTCAGTGGGCAAAGTGGTAGCTGATAAAAATGGCAACACCGTTGTTTATAACGAAAAGGATGTACCGATTGGAACAGGGTCCGTTAAAAAGATTGGACCAAGAAGCTATGAGGTCAGTTCAACTTTGTAAACTGTTTGAAATTATGCCAATCGCAGAAGCAAGCGGAAGTGTCGCTNGTATCACAGTGCTACGATGCTCAGGGTCGTTCAGTGGGTAAAGTGGTAGCTGATAAAAATGGCAACACCGTTGTTTATAACGAAAAGGATGTACCCATTGGAACAGGGTCCGTGAAAAAGATTGGGCCAAGAAGCTATGAGGTCAGTTCAGCTTTGTAAACTGTTTGAAATTATGCCAATCGCAGAAGCAAGCGGAAGTGTCGCTCAGTGCCTTTAAGCTCGAATCCATTTATAGTTACCCTTTCCAGGCCGTAATCTCCAAGAATCTCTTCATAGCCCGTCTAAAGGATGCACGATCTCAAGCATGTTGTCGTGAGGTATCAGGACACGACTGCGTGGAAGCTATCAAACTTGCTAATCCTTCAGTAAGTAGAACTAGAGTGACTATTCAGCAAAGGCTCCTTTTGAATACAAGAAAAATACGTTTTCCAGTTCTCCCATCCCTCCAGTCGTGACGGAGACGGAACAGTTCATTTGACTTGGCCAGATTGCTTCGACATGGGGATTGACGTCACCCTCCCCAAAGGTAACTATGCGTTCATCTTTGTCTTGGCAATTCGGGCGTTTCCCAACTCTTATGGCTAAAATCCGGTCGCTATGGAGGAGATATGCAAACAATTTCATGTAAATATTATTGGGCGCGAAACCACAGTTACTTACACCTCCAGCTGCCAACCGACTCCCACCCAAATGGACATATCGACATATCCAAAGGGCTTCCTTACAGATGGGAAGCGATAAGACATGATTTAATTGATGCCCCCGCGAAGCCACCGAAACCGAAATGCATGGGCAGGGAAGGGTAAGTATGCTTGGATAATAGGTAACATCGACAAATCATCCATTCGACATTTTCCCGCATCCTCCGAATCGACATTTCTGAGAGAGGGCCTCATTGGCTGCTTTCATAGTCCATGATTTGGCCCGCGAGGGAGCGATCGAGCGATTGGGGCGCCGCTTACCCGCGGTATCGACCAAGATTCAGTTGTAAACAAAGGGTAAACGCCGCCCCAATCGCTCGATCGCTCGCGGGCCAAATTATGGACTATGAAAGCAGCCATCCTACAAATACTTTTGGTTTATTCACAATTTTGGCTTAATACTTTCCACCCGCTTTTGTTTTTCTGTTCTACCGTAATTACAACACCCAGTTCATACTCCTATGAGTTTCCATTGAGGCCAAATTTTTGTTGATTGGACTTCTTCCTTTTTTCGACGAACTGACGTGATCCTGAGCATTAAAACGAAGGGTTTCAGGTGTTCACATCAACAAGTTGGCAATGAAATTGGACGTTTCCATTCAACCAATTGGTAAGCTTCGTTGTATGGATGTCGCCACTTGTGGTCGCGAATGTTTCTACTGCGATTTCTGCAAGGAAAGCCGGTTAGTTCAGATCAACTGGGCTGGTTCAAAAACCACCAGTATTTGTAGCAATCTATAATTCAACTTCTGAGTGTTTTCTAAGGAAGCTGAAGTTGTTGGAGAACACCGATGGCAATCTGTGCAGAGCTACAGCAGAAAGGACTTATCGGTTAACCGTCAAGCTCTGTCCACCACCAGAGGATCCTAACTTCACCATGTGCTCAGCCTTCTCCAAGTAAGTCCATCCTTCTAAAACTGAAAGCGTGCCTCGGTTCTAAGAGAAAAAAGGAAAAAACAATCGATCGCTGGGTCGATGGGTTACTATAGGAATTTTTCCTTTCCTACATGCAAGTTGGTAGGCAAACAGACGCGTCTTCTACAGTATCTTTAATTTGTAGATCTGTTTGGCAAAAGGACTATTGGCAAAAACAAGGAGCTGTTGATGTGTGGATGAAGTTTTATGAACGTGGACAGACTCGTGCTGAGGTTTATGCTGAACACTTTTCATCAGCTGCCTTTTTATGGACAAAACAAATTGATCATTATGGATTGGTTTAGCTTGAAAAGGAATTCTTTGCACAAATCGATAATCCATTGCTTGGGAAAGCCTTCAAATTAGCTATTGTCGCGGAATGGTTAGCAGCCAACAGTTTGGATGTGAGTTTCTGTATGCTATATGGTTCGGTTATATGATCGATCAATTTCTTCATTGAATGACATATCCTACTTATTCACATGGGGAACGGTTAATTCTCAGTTGGTAGGGTGGGATACTGACCCCTCCTTATTGGGACCCCTATGTTTGATGATTAAATAGAGGATATTTGGTAGGAACTGAGAAAAAAAGTAAAGAAGTGAATGATGATTCAGTTAAAGGTGCACTGCGTCCTGAAGCTGTAGGTTAGAGCGCGAAAAGCATGTAGTGATTCTTGGAGACAACAATTCTAGGTCGGTGGGTTGAGATTTTGGCCTAAGCCTAGAGTGGGAAGACTTGTTGAGTGAAATGCTGGCCCTCCGCCAAAAGGAATTGTCCCGTAGAAGACCCGGTGCATAGAGATAACGCAAAGAAGGCGGGAAATCTAAATCCACCCAGCTGCACTTTTTGCAATGTAATGCCAATTGCCAGCTCCTGCTGATAAGTGTAACCACAGACTATGAACCGACCCATCATTACTTTATAATTGAATGCAAAGTGTGAATACAGGAAATTCTGTGACGGAGTGGCTGCTTCGCGCTTACGTCTGCCATTAGGGAAAGGATCCTAGCTGGAAAACCTGAATCCTAGCTGGGATCCATAACTGATGATATCCCACGGTCCATGATCGAGACCGACACAATCCGCTTTGACCAAGTTGTTTATTCATTTGTTTATCTACTAAGTAAAAATAAATATAAATACAAATAAATAAATAGAGGCTCCAGTCGAGGCATGAAAAGAAAAGAGGGAGATAACATAAGCAGCGCAGTGCTAAAAAGTGAGAGGTATGAGTGTGGTGCCAATTATGGCTTTAACGTAAGGGGAAACCCGAGGGAAACCCGTGATTGGCGTTACACTAGTTCCGTCTAACGGGGATAATACTACCTTCCTTAAAACTTTCTTGAGGCCATCGCCTCCTCAGACACCACGAGGGACAGTAGGAACAAAGTGGTTCGTCTAAGTGAGGGGCGAAACGAACCACCCTATAGATANATTACCGTCTAGTTAGAGATTCCTTCAGAATCGCAATTTAACGTAAGATCAGTTGACACAAGAATGCTGTGAGAGAGTCCAAAATGTAGTCATTGTTATGAACGGAGCGTAATTATAGAAGAATGATTAGTGAACTCTTATCAAAAACTAAGTTTTTCAGCAAGGATCCTATACGCCCACGAACTCAGAACTGCTGGAGTTCTGGGTTTCGAAGAGGGACCCCGATCGCCTTCTAGCTTGTCAACATGCTGTAGTCGATTATGAAATCGAAGGTGCTAAAGTCAAAACGAACGTACTCTTTGAAGCAGCCACCACTGCCAATTCGGTGAGTATTACATTTCGTTCTCAGAGCAGGCATATTCAAGTTCCAAGATAGCCTACCCGAAAAAGTCTCTTACCTGCCCTGGGATCGTTCCAATTTTTCAGACCCCTTAGTTTTTCACTTTTCTTGGACGATGGGAGAGGACAGCAGCCTTGATCTTGTTTAGAAAAGCCCTTTACTTCTGCAATGAAGCCCTGGTTTCTCGGGTGTGGGAATTTCGACAGCGAGCAGCCTTCCCTTTCCACCCACCTTCCCGGGCGGCAAGCACGACACGCGGCGATTGCGGCGTGCCGCACGCGACGCCCTGGCCGTGAATCAAAGGTGTTCGAAGGGAAGCTGACAGGGTTTGACGAAGCGCGCACTGAAACGGTCTGATTTGAAATTGGCGCCAAATCAATTGGGCGAGGGGCGTGGGCGTTCGAGCTCCGTCCGCAACCCTGAACTCCCCGATCGCTTNGATCACTTATCCTTTGATACTACCATAAGGGATCGCGTCAGATTTTGTCCCCCTCGGTTCCCACCTGCAGGGGTGGCAGGATTCGGGGAAGTACATGGTGCCTTTGAAAGGGTCTGTATAGAGCAATTATCCAGATGTTCTCACAACTGCAAGAGTTAGCTAAAGTTTGAATGAAGTAGAGTTTTTCCCCAGTTTTGACATCCAGGCTTATCCATCATAACGTTACTTTCCCTAGTGCCTATTGCCGTCCTTGCTCCGAATGGTAATATATTTGCAGTGGTATGTGTCAAGCCTCAAAGACCCTAGACGTTTGATTTCCTCTTCTAGAGGGGTTCTGAACGGATTGCTAGTAGCTAGATGATTGACAGGAGACTTGTTTACATCAATGTAATTATTCTCAGGCAACCTAATAATTAATCGACCTGGGTAGGTGTTCGTTGGATAGGATTCCTACCGCTATACACATACACAGCATTGGAACCCGCCTATATAGATTTCGANCTCTAGGCTTTTTTCGTCATGGCAAACTCGTATCTCACTCCACAGGGTTCACTGCATCTTCTCAGTAGGCAATAAGAAGTCCCAACTCGAGGCTTTAAATCCTCCATTTCATTGGGATCACCAATTTCGTTATCAAGAGCGAAAACAGGAAGAAAGTTCAGTTAGAATTTCTGAGGATCTCACGAATCGGCAAACCCTGGTCTTCTTTACCCATATCCATTTGAGATTTCCTAGTTTTTGTTAGGTAAATTTTCTGATTTACTAAACGCTCAGGGGTATAACGCAAGGAAAAGCAATTATGTTCCGTTCACTGGCTGCAAGGGACCGACCATCCACATCGAGGTTTCATGAAACTTCAAAAATGGTGACTCCAAAGCTTTTGAATTCTTTCCCCCGTCTTGTTTTTAGTTAGCAGCCGATAACCTTCCAGATTTGATGAAAATAACGCATGGTATATCCCGAAGACTCTATCTGGGTCCCTACCGTACTTTGAAAAGCATTATGTAAGACCCATGCTGAAGTTAGTGCTTTTCAGATTCCAAACATCCTGAAGGACAAGAAATGTGCGGCCTTCGAACGATTACAAGAGGATCGCTTCCAGCAGGAGGCTCATGCCTTTAAAAAGCAAACCGGTGGTGGAAATTTCTTGAGTGGACTGAATGGTTTCTTGAATACAGTACGGGGATGAACTGTACGCGTCCCCTTATTTGTTCATTATAATATTATATTAGCCATTAATTTGTCAAATGTCTTTACGGTATTGTTTTCAATTTAAGCCCTTCCTTCGGCTCGTCAATAAAGATCTCTTCCCTTTTCCAAGAATTTATAACAAATATGTAAGACTTATTGTTTGACCCAAATTGGAAATGCAGAAGAAAGCAAGAACCACGAATGGTCGTTAGAAAGGAGCTCAAGAGGCTTTTGAAACTCACTTAAATACTTATTGGCTTCTTACAAAAGCCTGTGATAGTTTTCCTACATTGGGTTCTGAATGTAACTAACGTACTGATGCCCCAAATAGAAGGCTGCCTATGGGTAAGTCTCACTTCTTTGCTTATTTTTTATTTACATTTACTTTATTTACATATTTTTTATTTTTATTTTTATTATTTTATGCACTTATGAGCGGCCCATTGACAACATCTTCCTCCCCTTCCACCACCCAATCCACCCACCGATGCTGGAAAAGAACACCTTCAGAACGCTGCCACCACGACCTCCAGCCAAATTCCCGAGAAGAACTTTAGTGATGCCTTCAGAAGTCCAGAACAAACCTAGAAGTTTGGAAGAACATCAGAGATACTCTATTAACCTAGAAATTTTAGGTTTAGACTTCAAAAAGCCATAAAATCTAACCAGCTTGATATAGAAAGTCAAATAAATGGCGTATTCTTGGCCGGTATTGATCCAGTTTTCCCTTCTCCAAGTCTCATCGTAGACAATTAGTTGCCGAAATGAATTTGGAAGCTCATACGAATTTGTGTTACACACGACATTCTGGTCCGAAAAAAAAAACAGATCGCCCAAACAACATAACACATCTCCACCAGATGTGGGAACCCTATATTGAGCACATGTTTCCCATAGAGATAATGCTCTTTTGTTTTTTTATCGTATAATACTTAGAATACTCACTGTAACTATTAATGGCGTTGAAGTCATGGCCTTAGTAGTAGCTTCTCCTTCAAAATAGCATCAATCCAGCGCAACCGCAAGATCCGCAGTTCTTGTGAGCTGTCGCTACTTTCTTTGGTTTGTGGTATCTTCTGCTGTCACCCAGGAGGCAGTGATAACATTGAGTGGGTTCCATCACGAGCAATAGCCAAGAACTCCTGTGGTGTCTCTTCCACAATCCCGAAAAGGTGGTTCCATCGTCTGATTCTTTTCATTCTTACGGGCTTTTCACCAGATGAGCTAGGTTTCCGATACTATTGGCCTCACTGATACTCAATCATCCTTTTTCGTTATATACAGCTTCAGAGGAGCCTTTGAGAGTCTTTAAGATGCATGGAACCAGCTTCCTCAACTAAATAAGTACCTTAGATTGCTCAATTTGTATATATCGACCTCATTCCGCTCAAAATGGGCTCAGGTTCTCTCCTTCATATAATATCGTTCAGTTTCCCATAATGTAGAAGAAAAACTCGTCTTTTTGGATTTTATTTCAGGGGCTCTCTATGGAACGGGTTTCCAAATGGCTCTTTTAAAAAGATCTGGTCAGTGACGGCTATTTTTGCTCCACGACATTTGTTTAGAGAAAGCTCCTGGGAACAGTTCGCAGCTATTTTTGCACCATGTCAAAATTCAAAATTGCTCAACAATTAATGAAGATCGATGATTCCATAGCCAAAACTAATGCAGTGACTGCTCTTCAGCTGAAGTTATTCTTCTCTTTCAGTGCTCTTTATAAAAAAAATTCAGAACATTCCTCGTTGAAGTTTCTGAACGCTTCCGACGTTGACGAGGATGGCCGCTCTTTCCTGTACTGATGTTGTACCCGCCAGGTCGTTCAGAATTACCATAATTTAGCATCCGGTAACACTCAGAACAACGTTTTACATCTTCTCCTATGTGCACTTGGTTATTGGGGCTGTTAGGCTTCCAGCCTTTATAATTAGCAAAATCTAGCGTTGCTCACCTGAAGGCACTGCCTAGCACCCTTCTTTAGGATGATAAAAAAAATAATTTTTTTCTTTGGACTCGCTTTACACGAAAATCGTTTGACTGTTCTCGAGCCTTTCTTAACCTTTTTCACTGTATATTGTGAAGAAACGATTTGCTGCACACGAAAGGGAAGATTACCGTCTCGAACAGCTCTCGTTAACAGGAAACCAGGGGATCGCGCCGTGACTCCCACATGCACCCTTGATACATTACTGTGTTGGAAAGTTTACATTCTATATATGTTTCTTCGTTTTATATCATGTGTGTGGATTTTTTAGATTCGCAATTGCATCCTTGCATATGTAAAACAGGAACTGATGCCATTTGATGCAGCCTCCCTGATAAGCTGCCCTGCCATGGAAGCTAACAATTGTCCCCTTCCCATGAGCCTTCCTAAAGGGAATACATGAAAAAAGATCTACAAGCATTTGCGTTTTGAATCCCTACTTTTTCACGAAGATGGACTTAGAGCAGCAGCTATGTTAATTTATCCTGCGCAGTATTTCTTACTTGGGAATCAGGCCCAAACAGAGCGATTAACATTTGATTTACCACAGATTTTACATTTGAATTAGTCAATTTTATAAAATTTTCAATTTTTTTTTTCATTTGCAAGCAATGTTTTCTCCTTTTGTCCTATGTTCATAAAGGAGTCATTACCTTGCAAAACTGTGTCCCTATCAGGTGACCCTTCATATCTACGGTTTAATCTTCAGGCTCTAATTCTTCCAGCATTATATCCGATCTCGTCGTTTTCCTATAGTAATCTGGTTGCCGCTCAGTGTTTTAACGGGGTTTGGGGTATCAAATTTCCTCACGCAAATGCGAAAAAGTGTGTGAAATGATGGGCACTAGGCAAATAATGCAGCTGACAGCTTGCTGGGGAATCCGGCTTACACTTTCATTACCACACAAGTACAACTTTTTCTGGTTCTTTTGAATTTCCACAATAGCGAAAAGCTCCCTTTTTGGAACCTACAGCCCTTCACAAGATTGAGTCCATCACCGTTTCCATTTTCCAGAATCTTTCCTTTTGTTCCAGTCAATTATTTTTTCTATCTAAAGTCACCAATACGATGTAGATGCACCTGGGACCATGGAAATACTGTTTCGAACCGCGCCTTTCTCGAGTGCAGGGCGCGTTCGAATGGAATTGATTAGTTCCAACGCATATAACCATTTACTTTTTCTCTCATTTAATTTGAAGGGTTGACTGAACTCGCCAGTTTCTATGGGACTGAGCCACCCATAGAAACTGACTGACTTTTTGCCTACACCATTGAACCTCTCTCTCTGAAGACTTCCCGTCAAGAGGGGCCACGCCTCCTCCCCGGAAGTTATTACGCCAGCTTATTCGCACTGCCAAGCTTTTCTTTCATAGATTGCTAACGTGAACGATAATTTGTGTCCGGCAGAAAAACTTTGATGTCCATGCCGTCTTTTCGTAGTCCTAGCTTTTAATACTCATGTTGTTCTGTCTTCTGATAACCTCTGGACGAAACACCATTAGCTAAGCCCTCTGCTCGNAGATTGCTAACGTGAACGATAATTTGTGTCCGGCAGAAAAACTTTGATGTCCATGCCGTCTTTTCGTAGTCCTAGCTTTTAATTCTCATGTTGTTCTGTTTTCTGATAACCTCTGGACGAAACACCATTAGCTAAGCCCTCTGCTCGCCGGAGATGAATTATGGCGAGATCAGTGTTGTCTTTGTGTTTCCAGACAATCCTCCTTGCTTTTACTTGTTCTTCTGCTTTGCGCTTTCCCTCTCAGTCAGTCGCCCAAAGGATTTTTCTTTGTAAGCTTTCCCTAATTCTCAAGGGACTCTTATGTCTGATGAAGGATGTACTCGTGTATGTCCGGGGGATAATTTTCGGAGTTCATCTTCACTTTTCCTTTTCCTCTTATCTTGACATCGTAGCTCATGGTTTCAGGTCAAAATTACCCTGCAATATCTTTCGATGGAGCGTGAGCTCCGCTTGAAAGCTTTCATCGAAGAATATGCTCGAGTGGTACAACTTTTTGATGACATCGTCTCTATGAAAGAGTCAATGGGACGATTGGAGACGTATATGGTGGTTATGGTGTGTCAAGTTGGTGCCGCTATGATTGTAAGTTTATATAATTTTGAAACTTACCACAGAAGGAAGCTCGGGAAGAAGCAGTAGTGCGTAGTATTCCCTCCTTCTCTCCCTCAGGGTATAGCCGGTCTTTGAGGCTTAGTGCAATCCTTAATTACGAGCAGATCAATCTGGGACTGCGACGACACCTACTTGAAGACACGAAGGGCGGGAATAGTCTAGGCGGAGACCCACTACTAGTACTTACTCTTTTTCATGGCTTCGACAAAAACGGCTGTTCAGAAGCTTCCAATGCTTCAATAGAAGGGTAGCAGGAAAGCTCCTAGAGCTCAGTTTAAAGGCAGTGCGCCTTCAATGAGTTCCTTCTCACGCATTTGTCCTTCACTAATACCCGATGTGACCGCAATAATTGATGGATTGCGGGTGACAGGCACTGTGGGGTGTGGATGAATGNAAGAAACGGCTGATGGGGAGCTCTCAGTGATGCTATAGAAGTGTAGCAGGAGAGCTCCTGGAGCTCAGTTTAAAGGCAGTGCTCTTTCGATAAGTTCCTTCTCACGCATTTGTCCTTCACTAATACCCGATGTGACCGCAATAATTGATGGATTGCGGGTGACAGGCACTGTGGGGTGTGGATGAATGTAACAATCGAAGCGCAGCCGTTTCTCCCCTCTACATTCACTGCACTGGCTAAGGTCGATGAGGCGTCTCTGTCAGGCCTTGACTTTGAAGCTTCGAATAGATTTCGTTGAAGATTTCCTTACTCGCTAATTCGATGTAATGAGTTAGCACGAGAGTGTTCGTCGCCCGTGTTTCCCCCCTCATCTCGATTAGCGATTACTCTCGGGCAGCACATGCCCATTAACGAATTGATATTTGGATGAGTTCGCCACGTCACTCAGCACATACATAGAGACGACCCTCATCAGTAATCTATCCAGAAGCTGCTGCTAAAGCCCCGAGAAACATCTGGGTAGTACAGCTACCAAATCCTGGTCAGAATCCATAAAGTAATTTTCCAGCTAGTTACTCACCCTATTTATAACATATTAAAGCTCATTTGTTCCGTTTTCTATGAAATTGCCCCATTCATCAGCTCGTTCCAACGCCCGAGCTTTTTCCCACCAGAGGAAGCAGGGGAAAACGATTAAGTGTAGGCAGCTGATAAAGCTGAACGTCAGAACGCCTATGTCCTTCTGGAGTCACTTGGGGTTTGCAAATAGACAGAAGCAAAGAAAAAGACATGAGACCAATTTCATAAAGAGTTCAATAATCGAACCCTGTCACCCTTTTGGGAGTATTGCCTTTCTGTTCCAGTTTGTGAAAGCAATTGAATTCATATGTGGCATATGTCATTACCACTTGGATGCTTCACACATATAGCGTTTGCTTTTCTATGTTCCCTGCTCCTATCCAGTGCTCATACCCAAACGGGACCCCTTTAGGCCTACCTCGTTGGCTGATTGTAAATGGGGTAAAATGGGATCTTGTATAGTTTGGGGTAACATGGAGTCACCATTTCGGAGCAAGATGGAGTTTCAATAACATGCTGAATGAATGAATTAAACAGGAAGGAGGGTAAACCCTATGCTAAAGAACTCTTCCCGAGGAGGAGAGTATTTTCCTCCCTGGAGGGAGGGTTGTAATTCAACTAAGGGCTAGCACTCAGCGCTGTGAACAAAGCACTCGGTCCCACTTATCCAGTCTTTGATTATTACTTTTCATTGAAAAACGTAAATAAGTTCTCCTCCACCCTTTCATCACCTTCCCCCTCCTCCCCCACTGCTCGCCTATCCTGCCCTCCTATTCAACTAGTCGTTGCCAAATGGGAAATACTTAAAGAAAGAAGAAGAGGGACCCAGAAATAAGCATTTGCCTTAGCCCCATGCTTGAAGACCAAGACTTTTCTCAGTTTTGTTCACGCTCGAACTGTTCTTTCAGTTCTCACCCTACAGTCTGCAGACGAACAGACATATAACCATCCATTGGGCAAGTCAATTAGCGGCTTGTGAAGTGGGTGACTTGCGAGAAGTTAGCGATGTTTGAAGCAGTGCGTTTTTCCCTGAAAGTAGTGAAAGAATCCCTTTGTCTGAGAGGCTCAGTTCTACAGGAGCGCAACTAACATTTTGGAAGAGGGATTGTGAGCAGAACGGCGTTATTACCAAGAGCCTCTACTCTAGAACGCGAAACCATTTGTTCACAGTCACAAATGTTTCTTACAAGTCGTTCAAGAATGGGCAATTGAAATCGCAACCATTACGGAGGGGATTGGAGCACGAACATATCCCACATCTTCCATGGGAGGCAAGCAAGACGGTGATTGTTCTCGAACTTGAGTTCGTATGGATGTCGACAGTGGCGGCCACCGTAGCATTCCTTCCACCGAGATTCAAATCTTTCCCTTCACAGCGCGGGACCACACTCGATAATCGGCTGCGGCGAGCGCGGCACGTCTTTGGGGCATCAAATTAAAGAAGCATCCGCCCAGTTTTCGCCCTGATCTAGGTTCCATCTGGAATTCTCTAAAATTTTCTTGGATCTACTATAACTACCCGCTTGTATGCACACTCCCATCCTATCCCTGTCCGGCTCACTCCCTTTGCTTACTTAAACATGTATAATAACAGCCGTCGCGCCTCCCCATTATTATCACATTCTTCTTTGTAAGTTCTTCGAACCCTGCCACTTTGCTGGAGCCATCGAAATTTGTGGTAAGAATTTGGCTTGGAGCCTTTGAAGCGGTGCCTAAGCCCTTTTATGGAAACTTCTAGATTTTTCCAGAAAAAATCTCGACTATTGGGACGTTTTTCAAATACATCTCGCCAACTCTAATATGTCAAAGCAGAATTACTTCATTCTGTAGAACAGCCACGGTTCCCATGAAAATCTGTGTTCCGTAAAATTTTAGTTGTTCCGAAGTGAGTAGAAGACTTTTGATCCATTACTTTCTCTTTTTAGCTCTTCTTGGTGAATTCTTAAGGGCTCCAAAGTCTTTTGGTTGATGGATTGCAGATGACTGGAGTTGTGGTATGGTGACTTTAACATTCTAGCGATCTTGCGGCCTTCCTGGCCTAAGCTTGTCATCAATGCGCTCCTAAGCCTGGTCTGCTTGACCGTCCTAACTTTATCGTTTCTCGCAAGGTCCAATTGCGCCTCTCTTGGGGCCCATTTCAGCATCATCCTTTCACTCGGTCTATGTTCTGAGTGATATGAAACTTTTA